AAAAAAAAAAAAAAAGGAAAAAAATCTACCTTGGGATTGCCACATGTTCCTTTGGGCTCCCAAGCCTGTCACAGAGCCCTAGGTTTCCCTGGGTACCCCAGATCCTCCTGCAGACACCTCGCAACAGGTCATCAGTTCTATAGACCCCAGTTTATCCCAGCAGGCTACAGCATCCTATAAGGAGCCAGACCCTGTGGATCCCCTAAGGTACCCCTGTATTTCCAGCATACACGCAGGCTCCTGGCTCCACTACCCACAGTGGCCCAGCCAATAGCCCTCGCTTGCCCTCTTCTTCCACAAGGACCTTCCTTATACTCCACCACCCGTAACGCCCACCAGACAGGACTCTGATCCTTTTCCTCCCCTGGTCTGTGGCAGGCTGTCAAGTCCTCTACAGGTCCTGGGGAACAGCTCCGAAACGCGCTGTGGCACACGGGGGACACAGCATCCCAGGTGCGGCTGCTGTGGAAGGATCCTCGAAATGTGGGCTGGAAGGATAAGACATCCTATCGCTGGTTCCTGCAGCACCGGCCTCAAGTCGGTTACATCAGGTGGGACTGCCCTGCTGCTGCTGAGCTGAGCTGCTCTAGGAGAAATGGGCTGTTTACAGTACATCATGGACCTATGGGTAGATGCCAGGACCCCAGTACCTCCTATGTAAGGGCACCTGACACACATTCTCACAGAGAGAAACGGAGGCAGGGCCTACGACACCAGCTCTTATCTCTTGAGTAGGAACCACAGATGAAGGGGGTGGCAAGGAGGGACCCCCACCTCATTGGTCCTCCTTCACAGGGTGCGGTTCTATGAGGGTCCTGAGCTAGTAGCTGACAGCAACGTGGTGTTGGACACGGCCATGCGTGGTGGCCGCCTGGGTGTCTTCTGCTTCTCCCAAGAGAACATCATCTGGGCTAACCTGCGCTACCGTTGCAATGGTGAGCTAGAGGACAGTGGGCTGGACCCAAAAGGCTCCAAAAACATCTCTCACCTGTTGCCTTTCAATCTGCAGATACAATCCCTGAGGACTATGAGAGTCACCGGCTGCGGAGGGCCTAGGGACCAGTGGGGCCCCACTGCCCGATGGACTGTGGTGGCATAAGCTACAGGTGTCTGGGGGTCTGGCATCCCTCTGAAGGGGTGTCTGGCCTGGGGTGGAAAGGCAAATAAAGTATGTATGTGGGGGACTGGCTGGCTTTGGTCGCTGCTGAAGGGGCACTGTGTGGAGGGGTCTCCAGGAGGTCCTAGGGTCTGTATTCAAGTCACTGAGATAGTCAGGGGCATGCAATTCACGGCAGAAGGTGATACCCCTGGAATATTCTAAGGTATGATCAGATGGATGCCTCCAAGTTTAGGAACTTAAGTCACTGAATGGCTCAGTGGGAGGTATTCAAGGGGTTCAGACCTATGTGGGGCTCAGCCACAGGAGGATGAGATAACCGGGACGGAGACTAGAAAAAGAGGAAGAGGCCCAGACGAAAACATTGGGTTTTTATTACATTTCATTACAAAGGGCGCAAAAATACAAAGAAGCGTCTGCGCCAGAAGGTGGGGCGGGCGGCCGTGCGTGCCCTGAGCAACCTGACCCCCCAACTGCGGTACCCATGGGCACGGTCCACAGACATCCGCAGCGGAGTGCGCATGCTGGGGGCAGAGCCAGCCTGGGCACGGGGAGAGGAATGTGGGACCAGCCATTTGCATATATCAAAGGGGCTGTCCAGCCCATGGCGTCCTGTTTCCAACTAAGGGGTGAGATGGGGCCTGAGAAACAGAGCCTGACCTCTGACTTTAAGGCCACAGCCCTGTCCTCATGTCCCCCTGTGATCAGAACTGCTGGGTTGGATTAGGCTAGGCCTGGGTCACCCTGAAATTCTAGAACCCCAAGAGATAGGGCAAGATCTTACCCCATGTGATGGATCCCTAGCCCCAAGGAAGGGCTGAGTGCAGAAGGGGTAGCTGGTACCATCATGGGGCTCTGCTGCTGTCCCCACCTGCCCAGGAGGTTGGGCCCCTGAGCCCAGCAGGGTTGAGAAAGAGGAAAACTGAGGTTCAGGGCACCCCATGGCCTTGGGAGTACCCCAGCACCCAGGCTCGAGAGGATACAAGTCCCTCCATCTTCTGCCCTGACAGGGAGATGTGGCTATGACCAATGAGTGGCAGGCATTTGTAGCACGCTGAGGGCCATGCCTGAGACAGGAATGATCAGGGTCTCCAAATCAACCACCAGATCCCTGAAGGAGAGGGGCCCCTCTGGGAGCCAAGGTGGAAGGGGTATAAAAAGGAACAGGTACCACCGCACTAGAGGCAGACCACATGGGGCAGACTGCACCACGGGGCCCCCACCTGGACAGCTCTGGAGGGACAACAGCTAGGCCTAGGGCACAACTATACAACCCTATGCCTGTGCACACAGCTCCATCAAGACCCTGGTCCCAGCAGCCTTATCAGTCTGTGCTGGAATCTTCTCTGCAGAAAACTCAGAATGCAGTGAACAAACTCTAGGCCCACTGTGAGAAGAACAGTGGCTGACACTGGTGGGGGGTTGCCACCCCCATACTTTTGCCCGCTCTTGTCCTGATCAGAGTGCCAGGATTGTTGACTCTTGATATCAGGCCCAGGTGATAGCTGTCAGCTGTCCTTGGGTGCTGTGTGTGCAGTAGCATATGGGTCTCGCTAGGGGGCTCCCCAGTATAAGTCTTCCAAAGAGCTGACGGCTAGGCTAAGTACCAATGGACTTCACAGAGCAGCACAGGATAGTGTTGCAGATAGGGGACGTGACAGAGCCTTGGGTCGAGAGGACAAGCCATTTCTTAGGACACAGAAAGGGGCCGAGTCCAGCTGCATTGTTGTTCTGGGGGGCTTTGGGTAGATAACTACTGCCCCAGAGGCCTTAATGGGTAAAGTAAACGGAGGCGGGGGGGGGGGGCATAGTGTTATCAAGATGCCTCAGCCTTGTTTCCGATTCGGGGAAGTGGGTTTGACAGCACATGGCTGAGGGGCTTGGTTGAAGCTGGTGCAACATGGATAAGGAGGAGGGGGAAAGGCAGGCCCGGCTCAGGTATCTGACCTCGCAAGGCCGGGTGTCTAAGCCTGTCCTGAGAGCACAGATGTGGGCAGAGGGTCTATGTACATGCTGCAAGGCGGCTGCTCCCAGCACAGTTCAACAGGTCACAGTATCTGCATGTCACCAGCTGAAACCCCCACGGCCTTGAGCTATCATCTTGGGAGGTCTTGGCAATACAGAAGTATTATCAGACAGGTGACCTACATCTAGAAAACAAAGACACCTCCCAGGAGTCCCGCTGACAGCAGCGAGGCCCAGGGGTGGGGAGAGTGAACCCTTCTGGAACATGCATGCACCCGAGTGGTGGCCCCTGGCTGAGCAAGAGGGCTCGGCTCATGAGATGCCCACAGCTGCCCGGGGTGCTGAGGCAGGGATGCATCACCTCATCACAGAACTTGGCAATGAACAAGTCACACTGATACAGCTACATGCACTCTTGGCTGCAGGGCACTGAAAGCCGGGCCATAGTGGCCATGTGTGTCCTGCCCTGGCTCACTGAGGACTTGGAGGTCTGTGACTGGTTACCGGGAAGCAGAGCCTGGCCTGGAAACTCTCAGCCTCTCTACCTTGTTACAGCCATTTGTTCAGACTTCTACACTCGAAGAGAATCAGACCCCCATTCATGTATACTTTGTCTTTTGTTTTTTTACCTTGGTTTTTTTTTTGTTTTTTTCTCCTCCAGAGCTGAGGACTGAACCCAGGGCCTTGCGCTTGCTAGGCAAGCGCTCTACCACTGAGCTAAATCCCCAATCCCTCTTGGTTTTCTTAAGACAGTGTCTCATGTAGCTCAGGCTGGCCTTGATATCCTAATCCTCCTGCCTCCAGCTCTCCAGTGCTGGGGTGACAGGTGTGTACCACCATGCATGTTTAATAATAAAACAACAACAACGAGGATGACGATGTTCCCACTACTCCCTTCAAGCCTTCGCCATGGTGACAGGAAGGCCTGAGACCTGGACAGGTGAATGAACAAACCAACGCTGTATCCTCAAGTCCAGGGGGAAGGGGGATGGTAATGAAAGGCAGCAGCTTTCTCATGCAGGCAGCCACCTGGTTGCTCGGAGAGAGACACACAGCTCTTGTGCTCCCCAGACCCCAGCACGGGCAGTGGGCAACGCCACAGACACACGATCAAGCTGTGCATGGGCCTATGGGCAGAGGCGTATGACATGTCAAGTTATAACTTGGGGTGGTGGGGATCAGAGCTTCTAGGCCAAAAGTGGCCCAGAAAAGACAAGCTAGGTCCACAGTCCCCACTTATCACAGGGAATCTTAGCACAGAGCCACCAGCAGGCACCAGTCACCTGCTAAGGCCTACCCAGCACCTTAGAGATCCTCAGAGGGAGAGGGGTCTCCAGAGGCTCCAGTGAAAGCCAAGGCCTGTTCCCAGAAATCTGTTCTGTGGTTCTTACAGACACACCTAGCCACCAGGGCCGTGCATCCAGCCCCATCCATGCCCACCCAGCTCTTTGGGGTGAGACTATGTGCCAGTAAGCTCAGTCAGGGTGAGCGGCCCAGGTCTGGGTGAGCGGCCCAGGAGCCCCAGCTTGCAAGTGCTGATTCAGGCTAGTGTTCCAGTTAGCTTTAAAAAAAGGTCAAGGAGAGACTGGGGGATACACATGCTGCCAGGCAAGTATGGAGGGTCAGCTACCAAACGCCAACAGAAACTGAAGGAAAAGCAGAACCCGCCAGGGCTGCTGCCTCCCGAGCCCCAGATCCTGAACAGCAGTAGGGACTGGTCATGGGACTGGGAAGAGTGAGGAGAATGCGCGGGTGGCCTGTGACCCTCATCCCTGTACCACCACGCTGACCGTTCCCCAGCAGGGGAGAAGAGTGGTGGCGAGGGGGCCAAGGAGGGGCACTGGCTGCTTCATCGGGCTCTGTCCACACCACATTTGGCCATAGGTCGATTGTCACACTCCAAGAGTGCCCAGGAATATAAAAGGCAGCCATCGAACAGTGTTTATTCTGGTCCAGGTCTGCCCCTTTGCTCGGCTGTCTTTGCCCTAGGCATGGTGGGCATGCATGACCTGACCAGGGCTGGGGATGGCGGTGGGGACAGGGATGAGGAAGGCAGTGACAGCTGAGAACAGTCGAATGGATGGCGCACCTCAGCCTCTGGGTGGCCACGCCCACACCCCCGACCTCCTTGCACAGCACATCTGGGAGTGACACTTTGGGTATCTTGAAAGTGGACCACTGGTGAGGGCTCTCACATCCCCAGTGAGGGGTGAGGGAGCCAGCATGGGGAACGTCCATGGGGGCCAGGCACTCACAGCCTCGGCGATCAGCCTGGCCCCAGGTGGATGGATGGACAGACAGATAGCCAGCCTAGTACACAACGGCCTCACGCCAGGCATCATGGGAGGTGAACAACCGGGGTGGCGGCTGGCAGGGGGCGCTGGGCAGCATTGCAAGCTCAGAACCACAAGCTTGGCCGTTGGCAAGGGGGACAGCATTGCCATCCCCAGGTTTGGGGCAGCGCCGTTGGAGACTGACCAGCGGCGGGTGGCAGGCACAGCCACTCACAGGCGGTCCATTCGGAAGGTGTCCTCGGTGGCTGGGTCGGCTAAGACCATGTCGGGGTCATTTAACATATGAAGTCCGTCGAGGGTCAGAGGATCGATCTTCAGCTCGTCCAGCGGAAACTGGTGGTCCGAATCAAAGCTGACGTCACTGACCCCTGCCAGTGTGCTGCTCAGTTCCTTAGAGAGGCTTGGTGGTGACTCTCCTGTCACTGTTGGGTGGGGACAAAGTATATGGCTCAGCCTTGGCTCCAGGGAGCCAGACACCAGGCCATTTACCTCCAGTGTGAGAAGCAGGGGTGGAGGAGGTGGCTCACCCCAGGGATAGGTGTTCTGTGTACCATGGTGGGGTAGACACTGGCACTGGGCAGGCAGAGCCTGGGACATGGCTCAGCAGTCTGCAGAGCGTGAGCTTGTCGCCACCCGCAAAGCCACATGCTTGGTAGCAGACGGCAGTGTGACCTGTGGGACACACCTTCTGACACAGGGTCTGAGGTGCACAGGTGGGTCATAGGTCCTCCCTGTGGGGACCCAACTCCTTTTACTGTCAGGGAGGTGCCTGGCAGGTGCCCAGGCCTAGAACTGAGACTCAGCTGTCCCGTCTAGACTGGCCGGTCTTTTAGATTAGATGGAGCTCTAAGCACAGAGGCTGTCCTACACGCCACAGGGGTCCCAAGGATCCACCCTCTGCCCTGGGTGTGCCATGGTGCCCACAGGATGCAGTGACAGTGTCCCCAACAGACTTAGACTAGACTGAAAGGATTCCTTTTCAGGCCTATAAGATAAAGGGAGATAGCTAAAGGGAGTTGGGGAGGGAAGACATTAGAAAAGCCGGGTTCTAGTTAGATGGAGTGCGGCCTGGCCATACTGCTCTCTGCAGGATGGAAGGCCCTGTCTCTTGGGTATGCAGGTTCTGGGTTCTGCCAGCAAGTGACAGAGAGACCACTGGGTTGACGTCTGATCAGCTTGGTCCTGAACAGAGGGCCCTGGTGTGTGGCGAGTCTCCCTGGCTGAAAATGAGGGCAGGGGGTAATAAGAGGACTGGATCCCACATGAGGTGAGAAGAGAGAGGAGGCGAGGAGGGAGAGAGCACAGCTGCAGGTAAGGCCAGGGCAGAGCACGCTGCAGAGATGGCTGGCGTGGCCGAGTGGACCATGAGGAGGTAGCTGAGGGGTGGGCACCAGTGCCATGTGTGACACGGCTCTGTGACAGCTGAGGCTAACAGCGAAGTGTGAGAGGATGGACTGCGGTAGGGACAGAGTCCAGGATGATGAGACCCTGAGGGGTAGAGCCCTTGCCGTGCTTGCAGTGAGCCTTCTGTTCCCCATCCTGTGGAGCAGGTTAGCCTCAGCCCAACCCCCTTGTCTGGCAGGAGGACCTGTGAGGACACTTTTCATGCCCTGCTGCCCCAGGCCTCACCTGTGAGGATGATGTTGGGGATTCCACCGTGGCCTGTGTAGCCGAGCTGCTGTGGGTCCTGTAGGCTGCCATGGCTCCCGCTCAGAGCCATCATGGCCGCCTGCGAGTAGTTGAGTGTTGGGCCCGGGCTGTACAGGCTACTGGAGCTGATGGCACTCTCCAGCATGTTGAACTGCTCCAGCTAGGGAGAGGAGCAGAGGGGCCGTCAGGATGTTGGGTGGGGGGGTCAGGACGGGGGTGGCTATGGCTCCCCCCACCCACAGCCTGACAGCAGGATGCAGGCAGAGCAGGGAGACCTGGGAACTCGCTCACCTGGCGGGACAGAGCATTGGCCTGCCTGGCTGTCATCTGCTGCTCATAGAACGCATCCCCAAACACGCTGCCCAGGGTGGACGTGTGCTGTGGACAGAAGAGAAGCCTGCTGTGGTTGTAGCCTCAGGCTCAGGAGGCAGTGGGGTGGGATGCCTGCGCTGGGGTTCCTGAAGCCTGTGCCTCCCACAGCCCAGCTGGATGGGACAAAGACCCCTGGGGACTCCCAGAGGGTGGAGACCACAGACATTTATCCTGGAATGCTCAGGGGAGTGCCCTGACTAGGGTGACTGTTTCTTTCCATACCCACTCCCAGGTCCTCTGATGTTCCCCAATCACTGTCCCATCTACCCTCCTAGAGCCTGCATCTAGGAAACGTCACTTCCTAGGGCACAGGGACTGTAGGGAGGTGCTGCCTGATCCTGAAGCTGAGGACTTCCTGGAGTGACAGGCAGCACGTGCATGTCCTGTTTGGGATGTAGTATGTTCTTGGGAACACATGGAGACAGGACATAGGATACACTCTAGACAGTATAGTGCACAGGACACAGCAGGGACAAGCCACTACCTGGGGCTGCCTGCCAGTGAGATCCCAGGCTTGTGGGGTCGAAATCCTATCACACTTGCCTATGAGCCAAGCCTAGCTGGGCTCTTTTGGGGCCCTGAGAAAGCCAGGAAGGAGCCCCTGGAGGTACATGAAGGCTATGCCTGGAGCTGGCTGGGACACGGACAAGGGGACTAGATGGCTGAAAATGTAGCTAAGTCACACCCCAGGCACCCCACAGCCCAGCTAGACTTGTGACTCACAAGTCAGATCCCAGATGCACCTGAGTGCGCTGTGCAGAGTAACTGCCAGGTAACAGTCTAGGACAGTCCACAGCCTCCAGCTCCCTGCGAGAGTCACCTAGGCTAAGCTCAGTCTGGCCCCTGAAAGGTGGCAGACTGCTCGGTCAAACCCTGCTACTGTAAGACCCCATAGCCTCACCAGGAGCTAAAGATTTCATCAATGAGTGGGGACAGGGCTATTTTTGGGGTGCTTCTGAGATGGTGGCTGATTCTGTTCCAGAGCCTTGAGAAACTGTCCTTGAAGGAAGTAACTCAGGGGTGGGGCCTTAACCTGCTGAGGTACAGGCCTGACTGGACCGACATGATAGCACGTGGAGAGAGTACATCAGGCATGAGAGAGCACATGGCCAAAGCCCAATGGGTGTCTAAGGAAAAACCCAATAGGAAGCCAGATGTGGTTATGCCTGGCACCTCTGGGTTCTGAGAGAAACTTGTGTCTCTGTAGACTCCCACTGGGGTCAAATACCCCAGCAGTCTTGTCCTCACCAACATGATACACCTGTTTTCCACATCAGAGACACACAGAGACAGGTTGAACAAGATAGGACGAGCTGCCTGCCCCGGCTAGGACAACCTACGTCTGCTTAGGACAGAGAACATCCTATGGTTTGTCAGAGAAATGTGTCATGGATTGTGGACTCCTCCTCTGCCCTACCTGCCTCTCTGTGTCCCTGGAGCCCAAGAGCTCAGTGTGAATGGACTGAGAAGAGCTGACACCAGGTGATTAAGCAGGTTGGATGGTCACCATGGGGGACCTCATATTTTTGTTTCCCAAAAGCAAAGCAGCCTGATGCTCCTGTCTGGTTCTCCTGCCTGGTGCTCCTCCCTGGTGCTCCTGCTGGCTCTAGCCTGGGAGGAACCTATTGCCCCTGTCCTGGGGTTGAGGACAGTTTCAGGGCCTGGGGAACTACAAAGGCTAATACAAGTCTGTCTGCCTGGTGGTACTGTAGTGTGGGGTGGCCCCAGGATGGTGAGGTCCTGTCAGTTCCGATGTGACTGAGTCACACCTCAACTCCTCAACTCAGTACGGGATGAGCAGGGCAGGGTCAGACTGCAAAGAGAACTGAAGGATACTTGCTTAGGCTGAACTGGACCAAAACAGAGATCAGAGGCCTGGCCTAGTGAGGACGTCCGGGATCTGGTGCACAACTGCACCAGGCCAGCAAAAATCTGGGGTGGTGGGCTGGCATCCTCACACTGGGGAGGCTGAGGCAGGAGGATTCAGTTTGAGGCCATTTGGGCTACAAAGTGAATCGGGATTTCAGGATATTTGATCACACCGTGAACCCTGAATTTGTCTTATTTACTGAAAAAAAATCTATTTTTAGTTGTGGTGAGGCTCAGCCTTAGCACAGACCTGTAACCCAACAACTCTCTGCTTGAATATTGTAAACAAGACTAAGTGAAGTCAGCCATAGGTCAAGAGGTGGAGCAAGTAACCACTTGCCAGAAAGTGAACATAGTACTATTAAGAAAAGAACTACAGGGGCTGGAGAGATGGCTCAGCGGTTACGAGCACTGACTGCTCCTCCAGAGGTCCTGAGTTCAATTCCCAGCAACCACATGGTGGCTCACAATCATCTGTAATGGGAACTGATGCCCTTTTCTGGTGTGTCTGAAGATAGCTATAGTGTATTCACATACATAAAATAAAAAAATAATTCTTTAAAAAAGAAAAAAAAAGCCGGGCAGTGGTGGCACACGCCTTTAATCCCAGCACTTGGGAGGCAGAGACAGGCAGATTTCTGAGTTCAAGGCAGCCTGGTCTACAGAGTGAGTTCCAGGACAGCCAGGGCTACACAGAGAAACCCTGTCTCGAAAAGAAAAAAAACAAAACAAAACAAAACAAAAAAAAAACAAAAAAAGAAAAGAAAAAAAAAAAAAAGAAAAGACCGTAGAGAGTAAACGGGAGTCAGAGGAGGGACAGAGAGCCGCACAGGAAGTAGAAGAGCAGGGCTTCCAGTCTGATGGCGTGGGAGAGAGGCATTGCTTCTGGCACACTGGGGTAGGGTCAGCTGGGTGCTCCTCTGCCCCTCTGAGCTAGCAGGCTTTCACCCCAGCATCTAGCTCCTGAGTCTTCATTGGTAAAAATCGAACAATTGGAATTTTGTTTAGAAACATGACCCTGTCTCAAAACACAACCCAAATAAAACAAAGGCCACAGTCATCCAAATTAGGTGACTGTGGAGGGGGGGAGGCAGAGCAGTCATAGGCTGGCTGGCCACCTCAGCTACACCCCATAGAGCCTCTACCTTCATTTTCATAGGTCTTGGAGCTTCAGGTTCCAAGCCTTGGGGCTGTTCTGATGTCCTGAGAAACTCTGAGCCCGCCTGGTGGGGGCACGACCCTGGGCTGATGGAGGACAGATGGCATGGAGTGGAGGACAGCACAGGGAGCACTAGGCACATGGGACACACGAAGACATGGAGTGGAGGACAGCACTGGGGAGCACTGGGCACATGGGACACACAAAGCCATGGAGTGGAGGACAGCACAGGGAGCACTCGGCACATGGGACACACAAAGTGGCACAGGGCCAGGGGTGGGGCCTTACCTGTGGGGAGCTTCCAGGGGAGAAGCCTTGGTTGGAGACTGGAGAGGTGGGAGACTGGGTGGCTGGTGACCCTGCGCTCGTGCGGTACTGCAGAGGTGGTGCCTGTGATGACAGACAGTTCATGCTTTACTGATTCTTGAACTGGCCCAACAGACCTGGGCCCGATGCCTGGACCCTCAACAATGGATGCCACTCAGGCAGTCATGGCCTGTGGGAATCCGAGCGGAGATGCGACTGTAAACCTGGCTTGTCGGCATGTGCACACAGAGGGTTGCAGGCCCACCTGGAGCCCGCAGCAAGGACTCCTGCTGATGCTAGGCCTGAGCCTGTGCAGAGCTGATGGCATCGGGCACAGCACCCTCTGGATGCACCTGCGTACCCCGACACATCCGTACATCCAGACTGTGATCCACACACTCCTAAAAGCACAGTACATGAACACACATACAATTGGCACGCACCTGCACAATGCTATTCATAAACAAACCCCTACTCATGAATACACACTCCACTCATGAGTACACATATCCTACTCGTGAACATACCCACCCACCCAGGAATATATACTCACACCCACTCATGAGTACACACATCCACCCACCCATGAGTACACACTCACATCCACTCATGAGTATACCCACCCAACCATGAGTACACACCCACACCCACTCATGAGTACACCCACCCACCCACTCATGAATACACACCCACCCACCCATGAATATACCCACCCACTCATGAGTACACACCCACACTCAATCATGAGTACATACACACACACATATACCCATGAATACACCCACTCACCCACCCATGAATACACACACCCACTCATGAGTACACACATCCACCCACCCATGAGTACACACTCATATCCACTCATGAGTACACCCACCCACCCACTCATGAATATACATACACACTGAGGGCCCCCTCAGGCTTACCGAGGTGGCATCAATCCCCATTGGTGGCTGGCCTGGGTTCTCTGTGGGGGACTGGGGAAGAGTGGATGGTACAGTGACTGACAGTGGCGGCAGCTGGGGCCCCCGAGTCAGGCTGGCACTGGGCAGCAGTGGACCACCCTGGGGGAGGCCCACAGACACCTGTGGGGGCGGTGGCTGCTGCTGGGATACCGGTGGAGGTGGAGGTGGTGGCTGAGGCTGTGGAGGAGGCTGCTGGGAGCCAGCCTGGGTGAAGAAGGCATAGGGCAGCTGTTGCTCCAAGGACAGGGCGTCCATGGCCACGGCCTGCAGAAGACAAGGATGAGGAAGAGGCACTGGGCCACGGTGCCAGTGGGAGCATGGGGCAACTCTGTGGGTCTGATCCCCCACAGTCTGCTCTCCCTAGAGCACATGAGCCAAACTTGGTAAGGGCAGATCTTACACAGGAAGTAATCTTACATAGGCAGCACTTGGGAGACTGCGGCAGGAAGGTCACTGTAAGCATGGGGCCAGCCTAAGCTGCAGAATGAGTGTCTGCCTCGTCACTTGGATGCCTGCTGATGGCCCCTGGGCCACTCCAAGACCACTGGCTTAGCCAGGAGCAGTGACACGGAGATGGGAACAGAAGAACCAGGGATCCCAGGTCATCTTCATCTACTCAGGGTTTCACAAGTACCATAAGTGTGCATCATAAAACACTGATCTGTGCACTTTCTGTTCAGACTTCTGTTGATAAATAAATAGTGCAAACAGGATTGGAGAGATGGCCCGGGGATTAAAGAGCATGGGCTGCCTTAGCAGAGGACCTGGGTTCAGATCCCACACCCACAGGGTGGCTCTTAACCACCTCTAACTCCAGTTCCAGGAGACCTGACACCTCTGGTCTCCAAGGGAACCTGCATGCACATGGTACACATAAATTCACTCGAGAACACATGTACACATTAAAAATAAATACACACATAAATAAAATTGGTAAAACCAGGATTCCACAGGACAGGGGAAGGGGAGGGTCTGGAAGATTCCCGTGTCCCCACCCACCTCGCCCTCGCACCTGAGTAATGGGTGACAGCGGAGACAGGGTGGGTGACACCTGCTGGGTCTGCTGCCGCCTGGCCTCTGTGCTCAGAGACAGGGGGCTGACGACTGCCGGCCGGTGCTGTGGAGAAGAGCTGGGGGTGTTCAAACCTACAAAGGAGAAGGGGGCTGGGGACAGGCGGCCACAGCACAGCACAGCTGCCTGTGGGAGGAGCTGTCAGTGGTCTAACCTGAGATGGGGCTCTGAGGAGGGTGACCATCAGTGACCACCCTGGTTTCCCCAGCCCAATAGCCTAATTTCTTCTATCTGCAGACTTTAGTAGCTCAAGAAGGGCGTGTCCCGTGGCCCCAGCCAATCAACACTGCTTCCAAGTAACCAATCAGAGCCCATCTTGGAACTTGAACATTATCATGGGAAGCGCTGCCCATAGCTGGTAGAGGGAAGTTCTCAGTGACCAGGTCCTAGGAGCCCTGCTGTCCTCTGATGACAGGGAGAGTGGGTGTGTGCCCCTACCCAGCCACTGTGACATTTCCTGGCTTTAGAAGGAAAGTCCTCTCTAATGGAGCATGTGTGTGTGTACACCTAAAACATGTATGTTATACACGGTGAGAGTGTTTTGCCTGAATGTACACCTGTGCTCCATGTGTGTGCCTAGTAACTGTAGATTAATCCCCTGGCACTGGAGGATGATGGCTGTGAGCAGCCGGGTGGCTGCTGCAAACTCCCTGGGTCCTCTGCAAGAGCAACAACTGCTCTTAAGCTCTGAGACAACTCTCCAACCTTCTTTTATTTTAATTAATTTTTTTGAGACAGGATTTCTCTGTGTAGCTCTGGCTTTCCTCAAACTCACTCTGTAGACCAGGCTGGCCTTGAACTCAGAGACATCTGCCTTCCTCTGCCTCCCAAGTGCTGGGGTTAATCAGATGCACCACCAACACTTTCTATTTTGTTTATTCTTTTGAGATAGGTTTATGTGTAGTTCATGCTTGTCTCCAGCTGGCTACGTATGGAGACTGACCTTGAACTCCTGAGCCTCCTGCCTCTGCCCCGAGTGCTAAGGTGACAGGCATGAGCTAGCTTTTGCTATCCTAGGGCTCAAACCCTAGGCTCTGTGCATGGTACGCAGCACTCTGTCAAATGAGCTGCAAGCATTGTACCAGATGAGCTTCAAGCCCATTTAATACAGGGCTAGCCTGGAACTCACTAGGTAACCAGGCTGGCTTTGGTGTCAGAGTACAGATCTCAGGTCTGTGCCATCATGGCCCATCTCCCTTCCTGCCTTGGCTTGGGTAACTCTATCCTATGGGAGGTTGGGTTTCTGTAACACCAGGGCCGTCCCCAGTCGCTACCAAACTTGTTCTTTCCTGTCAAGGCATTTCTTGAGGACCTGGTGCCCTTCATCCACACCCTTCTTTGGCACCCTCAGGATGATGGAGCCCCCCTCCCAGCACCCCTCTTTCAAGTCTGCCTAAACTGAAACCAGAATCCTCATCACCCTGCCCCAGCCTTGGCCCGGAGTAACAGGCCTGTACCTGCCAGTGCCTCTGTGGGCCTCGCTGCCCCTTCCCTCATCCCCGCTTGCCCCAGGGATCTGATCCCTGAATGCCGAGGCAATGAGACCTGGGTGAGATGGAGGTCACTGGGCAGAGTGGGGCCTGCTGCCTCATCCTGGGCACCAAGCCAAGTGGGCAACAGGCCGCTCTGATGATAGTGGAGCCCTGAGGGCCCTGCACTTGACAGCCCCCCAACCCCAGTTACTAGGACACTGCTTCCTCATCAGGAACTATCAGATATTAACAGCGGAGGCGTCAGTGAAGTCAGGAGCACAGGGAGGACTTGGCACCATCAAGCCGGATGAGGCTGCCTGACTCACCAGGAGATCCAGGGCCTGCCTGCCCTGGGCACCTGGTCCACCTTGTTCCTGAAGGTGGGTGGATGGGAAGATGCCCAGCACTCCTTGGGGAGATGACAGGGCAAGGGGCCTTTGTGCCTGCTGCAGGCCCTTGTGCGACGGCCTACACTTCCCCTCGGATCCTGGTTGGCTCGACTCCTATCCAGTCCTGTGGTATGGTGTAGTGGCAGTGGCAGAGCCAGGCTACGTTATGGAGAGATTGCCAATAGAATCCTAGGCAGGAAGAACCTGGGAGGCAGCGTTCAGAGTGCAGTTAAGTCCAGGACTCAGGGGCTATGGCCTTGCTTCTGAGTGACAGATCCCTCCTGTGTCTGTCAGGGCTGAGACACTTCCTGTTTAGATCTGGAGCAGATGCTGGGGCCTGTGAGGATGCACAGCACAGGCAGGACTCTATAAGAAGTGGATGCAGGAGCTGGAGAGACGACTCAATGGAGAAGGGCACTGGATGCTTTGTAGAAAACCTGAGTGTAATTCCTAGTACCCACACGGGCTCACAATACCTGTCCCTCCAGGGGGGACCCTATAGCTTCTTCTGAGCTCCAAGGGCACCAGCCACACATACGGTGTACAGACATGTCTCCAGACAAACACTCACTACTAAAGTAAGTCTGTTAAGTAGATGTGGAAGGTTGGGACTTGGCTAAGGACGCTTGTAGCTCAGTTGGTAACTGCTTACCCAGAATGCACAAGGTTCTGGATTAGTCCCTAGTGCTACATTCACCAGACAGAGTGACGAATGCCTGTCACTCCACACTTGGAAGACGGGCAGGAGGATTAGAAGTTTGAGGTCTTGCCTGACTACACTGCAAGTTCTAGTCCAACCTGAGCTACATGAGACCCTGACTCCAACGAAACAAAACAAAACAAATAGAAGGGGGGGGGGTTCTGGAGAGATGGCTGGGGGGGGGTGGTTAGGACACCTGCTGCTCTTGCAGGGGACCCAGGACTTTCTAGCTTCAGCAGGCCCTAGGCATACATGTGGCGTGCACGCACAAAATGCCTGCTCACATGGGACTGCAAGCGGGGCAAATGGCCGGGTAGGCCCTATGGTAGAACAAAAGATGGTGGCTCTTTCTTCTTTCTAGCTTTCTGAGACAGAGTCTCACTAGATAGCCCAAGCTAGCCTAAAACTAAGTGTGAGACATTATGCTTTGCTTGATTTTTTAAAAAATCGGCATGATGGTGCAAACCTTTAACCCCAGCACTCAAGAGTCTGGGGCAGGCAGAGCTCCGAGTTCAACGTCCTGAGTTCTAGCACAGCCAGGGTTACATAATAGGACCCCATCTCAACTTTTCTTCTTAAAATCTCTTTGAAAACCGTCTTGGTGGGGGGTGTATGTGCATGCAGGTGGCTGTGAGACCCTGCAAGCGTCCAGGATCCCCTGGAGCTGGGATCACAGGTTGCTGTGAACTACCTGCTATGGCTGCAGGACTGAACACAGGTCCTCTGGAAGAGTAGTATAGGTTTTCAACTGCTGAGCCATCACTCTGGCCTGGGCTTGATTTTTTTTTAATTCTTTTAAAATGTATTCTTCTGTGGGGGTGGGCTGGTACAGGCCCATGGACATGTGTGGGGGCCTTCGGACATGCCCAAGTGGGTTTTCTTACTATACTGTGTTTGTTCTGAGGTCTGAACATAGGTCCTAAGGCTTGGTTCACATGCTACTTCAAATGCCACTGAGCCATTTCCATAGCCCCAAGGTATGCCTGCTTGATTTATAGACAGGGTCTAAATGTGTAGCCCTAGCTGTCCTTGAACTCAGAGACCCACCTGCCTCCGCCTCCTGGGATGTTTCATCATACCTTGCCCTCGGGCTGGATTTTTAAACATGGATTCAAATTGATTAATAAGCATGAGCACACATGCACACACACACTCACGCACACACACACTCACGCATACACACTCACGCACACACACACTCATGCATATACACACACATACTCATGCACACACACACACACACTCATGGACTGACTGACAGATACACACATACATTCATGCATACACACACACATCTGTGGGCTAAAGGATTCCTACTTCCAGCTGGTATGTTTATCCCTGGTCAGCAGACCATGATCATGAGGGCACTTTCAGTCCTTGCCTAAGCACCATCACACCCAGAGAGGCCAGATGGGCAGGCAAGCCACACAGGTAGCCTGCTGGCGAGTTTCTCTGCCCAGCCTGGATCACCTTTGGAGCAGAGCCAGCTGGAGGGGACGTCTGGACAGGGAAGGGCGGGGCAGGCTGGCCAGGTGGCAGTGGCCTGACTCGAGCACACAAGCCCTGGTGGTACAGCCCTGAAGTCCTCTGGAGTACAGCCAGCAACAGACACCTGGTCACTTTCCTGTGAACTGATCTGCAGACAATATGGGGCAGGGGCTTGGTCTCCCAGCTGCTCTCCACTACCAGAGTCTGGCACTAGGGTGAGGAGGTACAGACTGTCTGTGTGTGCCAGGGCCTGGCTTCATCTAAAAGGTACCCAGAAAAGAAAGTCCGTGTGAAGGGGATTGGCTGGCTCTTAAACACCCACACATGGCACATATTACTGGTCAGGGTTGGCCACCCCAGTGAGCCATCAACAATGTCACACAAGCTATTTCCCTGTGCTTGTTTACACTGGAACTGCAGCAGCTGGTGTGGAGCCCCGAAGCAGGAGGTACAGGGAGATTCCGAGAAGAGAAAGGATTTGGAAATGGCAGCCTCTGTGCAGGGCTAGGCCCCTGCTTCTTCTAAACACCTAGACCTTCCCTTGCTCCCTGGGCCTCCCAGCCGGGGACTGGCAGGCACATGCCAGGCTGTGAAGATCTGAAGGCCTGTACATCCTCACACCAGGGTCCTGCTCTCTTAGCCTTTGGTGCCGCTTGCTCATCCGGAAGCCTAGGAAAGGCGCTAAGGAGGTAGTGTGTGGCTCAGGGGTAAAACACTGGCTGGGCATCTGTGGGTGCGCCCATTTCTGTCTTTAGCATCGACTGAGTAGACTCAAGGCCCCAGGTTTTATCTCCAGCAACAAGTGACCTTCATGTTCCACCTCAGGAAAGACAACACCCCGGGCACACTGGCACCTTTGCATCTGCCAACCCTGCCCCCTGGGGCTGGCATCAGTGACAAGCTGGAGGACCCTGGTTTCAACTCCCCATATCATGCCTCAAGGCCCATAGTGCTCCTAATCCCACACTGAGTCTACCATGTAACCTGTATCCCCCACCCTTCATGTGTGTCCCTCCCCCCCCCCCATCTGTCCTAATCCACGTTGCAACCTACAACCCCAGCCGCTTGGGGCTTGCTGTGTCACATCAGGGACAGGGGATGCTGAGGAGCAGTGGAAGGTACCGGCTGGGGCAGTGTGAGTGAGCGGATAGAGGGCTGTGCCCAGGCAGCTGGTGCAAAGGCCCTGGGACGAGCAGTGCTATTGTAAGGGCAGGCTGGGGGACGCGGTGGGACAGGAGCAGAAGATGGCCGTGCAGAGGCTTGGGCTCATGGTGGGGCTGACAGGGATGCCTTTGATGAGCAGGTGGTGAAAGTAAAGACAGGGCCAAGGTAACCAGGAGAAGCAGTGTTGGTTCACACTGAGAGCCAGTGGGTTGGGCTCTCTCGTGAGCATTGTCCGGAACCAGGCCAAGGGGAGAAAGGAGCTTCTGAAAAGCGGGGGAGCCTGGAGAGACGGCTCAGTGGTTAGGAGCACTGGCTGCTCTCCTATGGGATCAGGTTTAGTTCCCAGCATGCACATGGCTGCTCACAACTGTCTGTAACTCTAAATCCAGGGATCCAGCGCCATCTTCTGGCCTTAGCAAGTACTGTGCACATGTAGTGTACAGTCAGACATGTGGGCAAAATACCCATACACATAAAACATTTTTCTTAATTAAAAAAAAAAATGAGCTTGGAAGGGCCAAGCTGAACTGTCATAAGTCAACCAGATCAACGCCATTAGGACTCCCTCCCGACTCCCATCCATTCCCTGAAGCTTGGAGCGGCACAGCACAGCCCTAATGTCACCACCTGATAAACACAGACCCATCAACTCCTCACTCCAGTGCATGCTGCTAGGTGGGGACAACACGGGAGCCTTACCCTGGCCTGCGCTGCCAACGCCCAGATGTGCAAGGCTGCCGGTGCTGCTGGAGCTGGTGAGAGCAGGGAACGGAGGCTCCTCGGGGTCGAGCGGTGTCGGGAGTGGGGAGGGGAAGTGGATATTGGTAAGGTCGGGAAGGGAGCCTCCTGTGTTGTGGGTAGCAGGGATCAGAGCTGTTGTGTTCTCCTGGTCTGCCGATGGAAAGATGCTAGAAAAGGGCAGATGGGGGGACAGGACATAAGTAACTAGCCAGCCAGCCCTGCCAACCCAGGACAATTTCAGTGAGACAGGAGGGACTAGGGGATCAGTGGATACAAAAGAAGACCCTTTAGTGGGCCCTGAGCGTGACAGGACCCCAAGCTGGGACAGGGCTCATGTTTGCCACCAAGTGACAGGGACCAGGACTCCCTGGGTGCCCTCTGGTGGCACGCTCATGGTCTCCCCTGCCAACAGGTGCAGGCTTAGAGAGAGAAGAGCCCTGAGGAGCAGGGGGTGTGGGACCGAGGAGCGGGGGTGCGGAAGGCCTGGCGGACTTACGTGATTCCGGGGACCTCACAGGACTTGGGCCTGGAACCCGCCTGAAAGAGAGCAGAGCAGATGGCAGGTGCCAGGTGGCAGGCATGGCTTCCTGTGTGCTGAGCCCAGTGCTGTCTTTCCCTTCCCCTGTCTAGGACAATCAGCAGCCATACAGTGCAGGGATGGCTTCAAGGAGCCCCAGTCAGAGGTAGGAGCTATAAGAAGGGGTCTTCGCACACCTTGCCCAGAGCCTGTGGCTAACCTCGTGTGTGGTCATATCCAGGGCTTTTCATAGCCCTGTGCCCAGCTCTAGGTTGCCACACTGGGAAGCCCTGGCTGCCTGGGGCCTCTGAGTGCTGTAGGTGGAGACACTAGAAAGACAGGAGCCTGTGATGTTGGCGGGCAGGGGCTGTGGTTCTGTACTGCAGGCTGGAGCGCAGACCAGAGGGACGAAGGGCAGAAAGGCAGCACCTGGAGGCTTCCCTGAGGGTGGCTTGTGACCAGCAGACTTGGCAGGGAACACAGGATCAATGGGTTTGAACAGATCCCCAGAGTAAACACTTCTTATGTTATGGGACTTCTGCTGTGCTGATGAAGATTTAGAAAAGCTTTCTGAGGCAGTAGTATGGCTAACTAGTAAAGGGCTTGCCACATAGGCTGACAGACCGAGTTCAATTCCCAGGACCCACATGGCAGGAGAGATAGCAACTCCTACAGTTGTCCTCCTCCTCTGAACACTTGCCAGGTGAATGTGCACTTGTATGTGAGCACACACACACACACACACATACACACACACTCATGTACACTATACATTTAAAAAAAGACAAGTGTTTCATGGATTCAGAGACCCTATCAGCTTTCTTAGCTAAGTAAAACAAGCCTCAAAATCTCTGAATATATACATTCATTTTTTTTTTTTATAAGAATGGCATTTTGGCAAACTCCAGGCTGGCTACAAACCCTTCCCCCTCTCACATCAGCCCTCTAGGTGAAGCCTGTCTTTCTTGAGCTGGAGATCAGTGGTGACAGGCTACAACTACCCTGCTTCTGAAACTGGACCAACAAAGAGCTCAAAGTTGTGTTTGGATGATTACAAATTGTTTTCTTTCTGTTTTTTGGTTGAGACAAGGTTTCCCTGTGTAGCTCTAGCTGTCCTGAAACTAACTCTGTACACTAGGCTGGCCTTGAATTTATAAGAGATCCTTCTGCCTCTGCCTCCTAAGTGCTGGGATTAAAAGTGTTCAACGCCACTGCCTGGCCACATTAGCTCTTCAGTGTTGGGAACCCAAGGTGAGTACGCTCCCCGAGCCGCATCTCCAGTCTCCTTTTAACTTTGAAAGAAAAAACATTTTGTTTGTTTATTTAGTTAGGGTTTTTTTGAGACAGGGTTTCTTTGTGTAGCCCAGGCTGCCCTGGTGTTCACTCTGTAGACCAGAGTGGCCTTGAACTCAGAGATATTCCTGCCTCTGCCTCCAAAGTGCTCAGACAAAGGTGCATGCCACCACTGCCCAGCCTATTTCTAAAAATAGTTTAATGTGTATTTTGCCTACATGCATGGCTGTGTAGCACCTGTGTGTCTTGTGTTTATAAAGTCAGAAGAGGGCACTGGATCCCCTGGAACTCGAATTACAGGTGCTAATTCCCTTCTGTGTTGGGAACCAACCCTGGGTCCTATCAGAAGCAGTCACTGCTCTCACCGAGAGCCCTCTCTCCAACCCCAACCTTTTTCTTTGCTTTTTTTTTTTTTAAAATAAATAGATTTATTTATGTATATGAGTACACTGTAGCTGTTTCCAGACACACTAGAAGAGGGCATCGGATCCCATTACAGATGATTGTGAGCCACCATGTGGTTGCTGGGAATTGAACTCAGAACTTCTCGAAGAGCAGTCGGTGCTCTTAACTGCTGAGCCACTCCTCCAGCCCTAGCTTTTCATTTACTTATGTGTGTGCATGAGAGGGGAATTGGTGTGCTCTTGCTGTGACCAGCATGTGGAGTCAAAGAACATCTCAGAGACTCGGTTCTCTCCTACCGAATGGCTCCTAGGGACGGAACAGAGGTTGCCGACTTGGTGGGGAGCACTTTTATCTGCTGAGCCCCTCGCTAATCCTGCTTTAACTCTATATTCTGAGGCAAGGCCTTGCTCTCTGACCCCAAACCTCAAATGCCACCGCCAGGGCTAGGACATGGGGTTCTGGGGTCCCAACTGGGATGCGTGTCTGTTCTCCTCACCATCCTGATCATTAACACTTTGAGCTGTCTCTGGGCAGTTTGACGGGCCAGCTGTTAATGTCAAAGCCTGGGTACCAAGAAAGCCAAGCAAGGCTCCCACCTTAACACGTCACCTGGTCATTTGTTCCCAGGCTGTGTTTGAAAAGAACATAGAAAAAAAGGGTCTTTTTAGCTTTCCCAGCAGCCCTTACCTTCTTTGAGTCCCAGGGCTGCTTAGAAAGGGTCTTGTCTGTCTCGGACCCGGCCTCCTCCATTCCCGGGACGGTCAGCAGTAAGACTGGATGTGGGGGAGAGAAGGGTCAGGACGACATGACCACACAGCTGAGAGACAGACCGCAGGACCCTAAGAGCAGTCTTGAAGGTTCTACTGAAGCAGTGGAAGGGGCTTAATTAACAAGAAAACCCTGCACAAGGATCATCAGTTGGCTGTGTAGTGCAAAGAGCTGAGACAGCGGCTGGAGCCCAGAGCCAAAGCTGAGCAAACCCCACCCGGCTGGGGCCCTGAGGCCTTGCTGTACAGGTCAGCAGAGACCCTGAGACTGCCACCTGCCACCCTGGCAGCATCCACCTGGACCAGGCTTGGGTCCCCACACTAAGGGCTGGTTCTGACCCTATTGCTAAAGCTACCTGCGATTTAACTGATCTGCCCAGAGTACATGTGCTTGAGAGTGAGCAGACATGTCAGAAGGGACCTCAGGCTAGACCCGTAGATGGGACTGTAGAGCTTCAAAGGGCCTAGTGAGAGGCCCGAGGGATGAGATGGATGGATATTGGTTGATGCCCTGGAACCAGCCACACCTGAAGCCCACATTTAGTCATGGCGAGTGCCTTTCTTCCTTCCCCTCTCCCTTTCTTTTCTTTTTCTTCTTTTAATTTTGTTTTGTTTTGCAATGCTGGGGATGAACCCAGGACCCAGCACATGCTCAGCAAATGCTCTGTTGCTAGGCTGGGCCCTGTGTTTCCTGACTCTTACCAGGTTCATTTCTTCCCTGGGCCAGGAGAGACCATGGCTGATGGGACGAGCTCTGTGGAAAACAGGTTAGGGTGCTGGGAGGCAGCCAGGAAACCTCTAGGGATGTGGGGACAGGGGACACAGGTCCTCCCATATCAAGGCTGGTTGGATTCTGGGCACAGAATCCTGAGAGGTCATTGAGACCACAGGTGCATTCCAGGAGCCCCATGTGAGGAGGACCCACAGGTCTATCTGACCTCAACCCTCCTGCACTGCACATAGGGTCTTCGGCCTGCAGCCCTGGCTGCCTGCCAAGCAACCCCCACCCCCAGGATGAGTCCCTTAACCAGGAAAAGGTCCCTGGGACTCAGTGAACTGCCACACACAGGCCCTCCCTACCTTAGCACCTGGGCCTCAGATGCACGAGGGGTGACTTCCCGGGCTCTGGTGTCTAAGGCCGGGTGGGTCTGACCCAGGGTGGGTCTGCTGCACCTAGCTTCACAGAACCTACAATCCTAACTCTTCAAGACAATTGGAAGAGCTGTACTGAGGACTAGTTGCCATGTGGGAGCCCAGAACTGGGGGTGCAGCCTCAGCTACAGGCATATGTGCATAGCCCAGCCAGTAAGGAAGCTCACCCCAAACCCGGGACACAGAAGGCCCCTTTTTCATACAGGGTTACCTGGCTGGGCGCAAGGGAGGATGGAGATGGTTCTGGGCAGCAGAGCTGGGATTCTGGATCAAGTGGCACCTACTGTTGGGGTCTATCCTCAGCTACTATGTGAGTTAACAAACCCTCTCTGCTCTGCTTTTTGAGATGTCAGCATCTCAATCAGTCACAGGCCCAGAACACAGTCAATGTGCATTGGCGAGGGCCCCACGTGGGAAAGATGCCCTGAAAACATTTGTCCTATTCCGACTCTTCCTCTAAATGTCAGTCCCCCAAACACTAGTGACCTCCTGGGACACGCGGACTACTGGGTCGCCTGAGCCTGGCAGAAACACCGGGTCCCTCATGTACCTCTCTTCTGGTGCGCATCCTGGGACCCGCCTGGGAAGGACTCTGCCTGGGTGGGTGTCATTGTGCTCTGGTGCAGGGCAGAGTCAGAGTTGGTCCTGGGAGACAGAGAGATGGTGACACTCACAGGAAGAAGCCTCAGTCCTGATCTACCCATGTTAGACACTGTCTTAATCCCCACAGGGGTCCAGGATATGCTCCCATGGCTTGGGGCACCCTGTGGATCATTCCACCAGCTGTGGTCCCAAGTCAGTGATCAGACTTCTCTGTGTTCAATTTTATTATGGTAAAATGGATATGAAAACTTTTTTTCTTGAGGCAGGGTCCCATGTAGCCCAGGCTGGCCTTAAACTCACTGTATAGTTGACCTTAAACCACTGATTATCCTGAGTGCTGTGACCACATACACATGATGTGATACTGCACATGGAGACATCAGTGAGTCTCGGGTGTTAGCTCTCCAGCACCTTCTGGGTCCTCACTGTCACTGCTGTACACCACAGGATGGCCGGCCTGACCTCTTCCAGGGACCCTCCTGCCTCCACAGCCTATCTGTAGTGGTCTTGGGACTGCAGATGAGTGCTGCTGTGTTCATGTAGGTTACAGGATTTGAACTCAGGTCCTTGTGTTTTGGCACAATTCACTAAAAAAGCTACCTACTGCCCAGCTCTCCACTCCCAGTTTTGTTCTTTTTAAAGAACTGTGACATTTTAAAACATTAATTTAGTTTTATTTCACATGCATGCCTGTATGCCATGTGATGCTCACGGAGGTTAGAAGGTGTCAGATCCCCTGGGACTGGAATCAGGGACAGCTGGGAGCTACCATGTGGGTGCTCTCCTAGCACACATTTATGTGGACCTGGGGATGGAACCCATACTTTGTACATGCTAGGTGAGCACTCTACCTACTAAGCTCCAAGTACTCTATCTACAACCCCATCCCAGCTTGATCTGTTTTAACTGAATGAGAGTCAAGGATGATAATTCCTGTGCACAGTCCCCAACAGTGAATACAGAGTGTGCACAGTCCCCAACAGTGAATACGGGGGACTGCTTGAGCCCAGGAGTCTGCAGCCTGCCTAGAGCTCAGGGAGAAACCAAATTTGAAACAATCAGGCCAGCAAGAGAGCCCAGAGGTGAGAGAGCTCTCGGACAAGTCTGATGACCTAAGAAATGTTAGTCCTGGGACCCACATGGTAGAAGAGAACCGACAAGCTGACCTCTGACCTCTGTCTGCGGCATACACACTCCCCACCACCATCCTCCTAAAAGCCAGGTGTGGAGATCACAACTTTAATTTCAGAACTTGGGAGGCTGAGGCAGGTAGATCTCTGTGAGCTCAAGGCCAGCCTGGTCTACATAGTAAAACCTGTCTCCAAACCAAACCAAACCAAACCAAACCAAACCAAACCAAACCAAACCAAACCAGCCCTGGACTGTAACCCAGGTGGCCGAGTGCTCCTCTGGTGTCCATGAGGCCTTAGGTTCCATCCTGCACCACATAAACTAGGCATGGTGACACAGGCCTGACATCCCAGTGGCTAAGGCCTGAGGGCAGACGTTAAAGGTCCTTCCCAGCGACACAGCAGGTCTCAGAGGAGAGAGTAGTAGCAGATTATGTTATTTAATGTCATCACTATCCATGGACTGTGACCTTGGGGATCCATGGAGCAGTGAATCCATGTCACTCAAAGCCCTGCCACATATCACACTAGAGGAGTGTTGGCACAGAACCTTCATATCCAGAGATGTTCCTGGATAGGATACCCATACTGTGTGCACAGTTACTGTAGTGTTATTTTCAGAGTTTATTTTATTTGTGTGCATGTGCGCACATGTGATGTGTACACAGTTCCCTTGGAAGCCAGAAGAGAGCACCATGTCCCCTGGATCTGGAGTCACAGGTGCTTGTGAGCCACCATGTGGTGCTGCCACTAAAACCTGGGTCCTCTGGATAAGCAGGCAGTGTGCTTAGCTGCTGAGCTGCACCTGTGGCCCCTTGTTTTTAAGGCAGGCTATGAATGTGCAGCCCCGATTAGCCTGGAACTCAGAGATCTCCCTGCCTCTGCCTCCCGCACGCTAGGACAACACGTGGGACCCACCATCTTGCAAATACAGATAAGCAGCCGGGCGGTGGTGGCGCACGCCTTTAATCCCAGCACTCGGGAGGCAGAGGCAGGCGGATTTCTGAGTTCGAGGCCAGCCTGGTCTACAGAGTGAGTTCCAGGACAGCCCGGGCTATACAGAGGAACCCTGTCTCGAAAAACCAAAAAAAAAAAAAAAAAAAAAAAAAAAAATACAGATAAGCAGTGTTTCCTACAGCTCCCTTCCTGTGCTGCTGGGGATAGAAGCAGGGTCCTCATGCACAGTAGGTAGGTGGTGCTTGCCACAGATGTGCACGCACCTCAGCTGCCAAAGACCATCTATAAATGTCAGAAATTAGCCTCGATGGAGTCCAGTGCCAGGCTTGGTGATGAACACCTTTGTTCCTAGACTCCCTGGAGGCTGAGGCAGGGGGACTACTGGAGACTGGGAATATGCAGCCCATGTAGGCTACAGAGTAACAGAGAGAGAGAGAGAGAGAGAGAGAGAGAGAGAGAGAGAGAGAGAGAGTCAGTCTCATCATTAGGGGAGCAAAATAAAGTGGGACAGGCAAGATACACCACTGACTATTCAATTCTGAAAAGAAATAAGAAATATGGAAAACAGAGAAGGGGAAGACAGGAAGATGGGGAGGACAGGAGGAGCAGGGGAGGGAAAAGGAGGAAGAGGAGGAGGAAGAGGAAAAAGAGGAAGAAGAGGAAGAAGAAGGGGAGGAGGAAGAGAAAGAAGAGGAAGGGGAGGAGGGAGAGGAAGAAGAGGAGGTAGAGGAGGAAGAAGAAAGGGGTAGCAGAGGAGGAAGAGGAGGTAGAGGAAGAGGAAGAAGAGGTAGAAGAGGAGGAAGAAGAGGAGGAAGAAGAGGAGGAAGAGGGGGAAGAAGAGGTAGAAGAGGAGGAAGAAGAGGAAGGGGCGGGGAACAAGGCTCTGAAGGCTCTGAAGCCATGTTCTCCACAATTCGGAATTGATTTCTAGGATCTTTTGGAGGCATCTCGCTCACTTTCCAGAGCCTATGCCCTGCATCTCCATACACAGCTACGATAAAGTCTATACTGTTTCCTCCCAGAGTCCAGGTGTCCCCTCTACTGACCTCCTCCAGCTGGTGTCTGCAGGAGGCGAGAGGTACACGGTGCCATAGGGGCAGCTGTCAGCGTGAATGAGTTAAGGGAACCTCAGAGTGTGCTCTGTCCCAGGAAGCCTGATGCTCAGCCTGTGGGGCCAGGCTGCTGGGAGCTGCTGGGAGCTGCTGGGAGCGGCCCCTGCTCCCAGCCTGTGGCTGCAGACAGCTGGCCAGGAGGGCTAGGGGCAGTTCCTGGGAAAAAAAAAAAAGAGTGCAGCCCAGAGTGCAGGGATGCCCCAGCGGCCAGACCCATTCACCTTCAACGCAGCCCCATCCTCCCAAACCATCCCAAGAGGAGGCCTGGGCCTCCAGCCGCCAGATGCCTTAGGGAGAACAGGTTCAACCGAGCTCTTCTGCTGAGGAGCTCCCAGCACCAAAGTCTCAGAAGTAAGAAGCAGGGCAGGCAGACAGCTCCACTCTGCGGAGTTGAGGGTGGGGCGAGAGTAACCCAAAGCCACTCCAGTGACGGAGACCTGGCTGGGGCAGCCAAGTTAGAAGGGGGCCCTGTCAGGCGCCCACCCTCCAAACAGAGGCTGATCCTGTGTGAGTCATATCCATGCTACCTCAGCTGAGCCACACCCCACTTCCTGCAGCCCTCGGAAGCTGCATTCCGAATCGCTCCTTGTAGCCCAGTCCTCTGGGGTTTGGGCTCACTCTCCTTAACTCTTCTCTCTGCCCCAAGTCTGGCTCCAACATCCTGTGTTGGAGGCCTTTCCCCAGATCTCCATGATCTGGTGTCCACAGGCAGCAGTGTGTGCCTGTCCCCTGTTCCCTCCCAATCCCACACACATCCTCTGCAGAAAGGATATCTGTCGCCCGTGCTTGTCTACTGACAGGGGTCGGCGGTGTGGGGAGCCAAGTCTGCCCCGCTCACGGTACACTCTGTCCACAAGCCCATGATGCCGTGTGGTCCGACTCGTGTCCAGGCCTGAGGACTGAAATGGGGTCTGGGGAAGAGAACAGGGGTTCAAAAAGGAGACAGCGGACTTATGGGTTACTGGCTGTAGCTTGAGGTTCCCCTAGCTCTACCCTTGGAGATCTCTGCTCTGGGGACACACTTAAACTCTATTCCATAGGCATCTCTGGCAGCCCCAGCTCCTGCTGCGCCATGGGGTTGGGGTAAAAAAGCCAGCAGTGCTATCCCAGAGAGTGCAGTAGACATGCAGTCCAGCTGCATGCTTGGCCCAGAGGGGCGGTGCACGCTCTGCCTGGGTGCCGGGGTACAGATGAGTGAGGAGCTCTCCCCAGCTGGCCAGGTGCAGACAGGCCTCCACCCTCTCTCTCCAGGCCTGGCCGGCCTCCTGTCCCCACCTACGTCATCTCTAGAGGGGCTTGCCAAGAGAGGCCCCCAGGGCTTTGAGCCCAGAGTTGCTGTGGGGCCCACCTGGCCCAGTGCTTGTTCCCAAGAGGATTGAGGCAGAGCACAGAACTGCTCTGGATTGAGCTGTGGACCCCTCTCCTGTCCCTTCTCCTGCTCCCACCCCCAGCATCTCAGCCAGGCCCCACTGAGAGCCATGTACAAGCCTTCTGGGGCTATGGCAGGGTTACATAGAGCTTCTCACCAGCACCTGGGCTGGCACAAGGTTCCAGGCAAGTCTTGGAATCCCCAAGGCTGCCAGAAGCCTATTAGGACGAACTCAGCTGCCTGTCCCAACCCTGGCCATGACTCGTCCCCATGCCTGCCTGGCTATCTAGGCCCTGGGCCCTCCTGTCCCCCAGGCAGAAAGCAAAAGCCACTCTGATACTTAAACAAGCTTCCCTCTCAGGAAGCCCAGTGGTGGCTGAAATGGCCCGGCCACTTCGTTTTCTGTTTGCCTTCGATGCTGTCTGAGTGGGCACTGTCAAATCTCTGTGACCCAGAAGACCCTGCTGATTTTGTGCTTTTCTCCTTTTTTGTCGGTTTGTGTTTTGGCTGTCCTGGAGCTCACTCTGTAGAATAGGCTGGCCTTGAACTCAGACTTCTCTACATTTTTTACCCACAGAAAGGCAATGAACCCCAGAGATGGCCACGAACCTCACTATCAGGGCATATGGAGGGTAGGAGCCAGTCATCTCTCAGACAGCTGGAAGGGAAACCGAGGCTGCTGCTACCCGTCTCTCTAGAACCTGCCCCAGCTGCCCCTGCACATCAGGCTCCTCCATCTCTCTGCCCCATCAACAACCAAGACCTCGTCTACACACCGGTCACATAGCCTTCTAGACCCTACTCAGCCTTCCAAGCCTCACCCATCTCTCCAGGCCCCTCCCAGCTCTCCAGCCCTATTTGGGAGCCAGCACTTGGGGATGTACATGCTTGGGGGCCTGGCCCAGGTAGCTTGAGGCACATGCTTAGACTCTGCTGTAACATATACCAGGATATGTGTACATGACATCTGTCCAGGAAGGACCCCAAGGGTCCTGGGGGACTTTGAGTGGCACCCATAGATACTTCCCAAGATGAGGGCACTGAGACAGGTTCACCTCAGGTGTGTGGATGGAGAAGGCATGCCCCAGAAAGCTGCAGGGACAACCGTGGGCCACCCAGTGCTGACATACGGATCAAGGTCTTACAGGGTGGTGATGGGTGAGACCAATCTCAGTCTGGGGCTCAGTTACCAGAAACACTAACCTGAAGCCAGAGCTACCCCAAAACCACTACACTAAGAATGCAAAAACCCAACACTTTGAACCATTAGGTGGCATTTGTGTCTTCAGCAAATAGGCTTAGTAGGGTCCTTTGTGCCCTTGAACTGAGGAGTTCAGTGTGATACCCACACAGGGTTAAATGAGGGGGTGCTGGGGTGCTCAGGTAGAAGGAAGAGGAACTGGAAAACAGATCAACTGGAGATCCTCTGTCACAGAGAGACAGTGCCTTCAGTATGCCACTGAGATCTGGAACTCCGCAGGGTGAGGCTCCCAGAACCAAGCTAGCAGCCCCAAGCTCACCCAGGCCCAGGCTGCTAACCCAGCAGTTCCCCATCATGTAGACAGGGGAAGGCTGAGGATGACTAGAGCCTGTGAGCTCTTAGGGAAAGGGTTGTTCGCAGACCCTTGGTAACACGGTACGTGCCGGCCAAGGGCCTTGTCCGCACACCCTCCTCCTGCTTCTCCTGAAGACTGGGTCTGGGGAGAAGACACCAGCCCTTATTACTCTGACAGCAGCCTGTGGCCTGAGGGAGCCATGCAGGGTGTGCGGCTCTGCCAAGAACTGTCTGCAGACAAGTGGGGTCAGGCAGCAGGGGCTTCCTTCTGAGAACTGCTGGGCTTGCAGATCAGCGAGGCGGCTGGAGCCAAGCCCCCAAGGCCCTGAGCTCTTCTCAGGGCCTCCCAGCCTGCTGGCAGGTGCAGCAGCTGCTGAGTGTTGTGAGTGGCTGGGGGTGGGGGGAGGATGCTGACTCCAGGAGTCTGGAGCTCAGGGAAGCTGGCTGGGCCACTCTCCCTCTCCTGAGCCCCAGGAGACTAGAAGAGTGTTTAGGGGTGGGAAGTTGTCCTCTGTGAATTGCAGGGGACAATGGCACGTGTTTAATTTGGGGGGCATGGCCCATCTCCTGTGGGTCAACCAGCTGTCTCTGGACTCTGTAGTTGGAGTAGGCCCCAGAGTGGGACCTGGTTGAGACAGGAAGACATGGGGTGTCACCTAGGAGGGGCACAGAGCCAGGAGAACAGGGACTCACCTGGAAGGAGAGGTCCACGCTGCTACTTCCAATCTGGTTCACGTTGGGCAGGGACCCGCCATAGTACTGGCCACGGCTGGGGCCCAGCTGGAGGTACTGGGATTTTTGCAGTTGAAGCTGGAAAAGCAAAGCCATCAGCTGTCACCTCGCAGAAGGGGACACATTCTCAGTATACCCATGGAGTACCATTTAGCTGGTGAGATCAGGGACTATGATGTTCCTCTGACTAAGACTCTGCAAAAGGCAAACCAAACGCACCCTGGATGGTCCTCCCTGAGTGAGACTGTACCCTGAGGAGCTCCTGGCCATGAACTTGTGAAGCCAGCTGCTTGGCTCACTCTCCTGAGACCTGGGGAGGCCCAGCAGGGACCATAGATGTGCTAGCCAGTGGGAAACTATGGATTTAACATGTGGCCCAACTGCCACAGGGCCTGAGTTGCTGCCTCATGCCCTAGCCTTAGTCTAAATACTTGGGGATCCTGCCTAAGCCTAAGTTCACCTCCCAGCTCCTTGGAACTCCAGAGCTGACATCTGTAAATTGTAGGGGACAATGGCAGATGTTTAACTTGAGGGGAATAGTCCATTTCCCTCATGGAACAGGGTCCTCAGTGCCCACTCCAGTGTGGCCAGTCACACAGGAAAGTGCTGCCTGCTCTGCGTGGGCCTGGTGGTTGCTAGGGTCCGGAACTGTGTACACAACAGGGCTGGCTCTCCGTTCTCACAAACAACTCCTGGCAGCACAGCCTTCCCACCTCTCTTCCACGCCAGCCCTGCTTCCTGGGGAGGCTTTGGACACTGGAGGGGAAGCAGAGCTCCAACTGGCTGCGTGCCTGGCTGAGTACCTCGCCCAGGTAAACAGCTGTTTCCTGAGAGCTACAGTGGAGGCCAGAGGAAGATGAATGGGCCTGGTTCCTAGGTACCTGTGCTGGGTCTGTACTGGGAGGTCCCTGTGTTCTCAGTGGATGCCATCTGGTCCCACCCACATGTTCCCCACTGAGTCTCTCCCAGCAGCTATGAAACACAGAGAGGGGGCGGGGAAGCAGCTCAGCAAGAAAAGGCACTTACTACCAAGCTTGACGACCTGAGTTCAATCCTTGAGTCCAGAGAGAACTGATTCCTGCAACTTGTCCTTAGACCTCAACATATGTTTTGTGTGGGATTTCACCTGACAAGTAACTGTAATTAAAAATATATACTAAGCCAGAATAGAGATGCTTCTCGGGGTGAGGTCCACACAGTGCCTTTTGCCCATCTTGCTTGTCCAGGGCTATGTGAGTCTCACAGGTGGCTCTGGGTTCTACCAGCCCCGTGCTGACAGAAATGACAGTGCATAGTATTTGTGTTCACAGGTTCCTAGAGACTGGGGATCGGGGCAGTGTGCACCAGGGCCACTGGGCTCAGAGACTGGGGATCGGGGCAGTGTGCACCAGGGCCACTGGGCTCAGAGACTGGGGATCGGGCCAGTGTGCACCAGGGCCACTGGGCTCAGAGACTGGGGATCGGGCCAGTGTGCACCAGGGCTACTGGGCTCACTGCCACATGTGGGAACAAAGGAAGCCTGGTGTTTGGGGTGAACCTCAGAACTGGGTCTGACCAGCAAGATACTTGGGGCTCCCAGGCCTCGATGTCCTGCAGTGGCCCTGAGCCCACCTACCTTGCTCAGCACCCTGGGCCTTGCAGTTGCTCTGCATCCAGGCTGGTGTGGCAGGGACTCCATTGGCCCTGTGGCAGCCAAGCACATGTTGGGTGACACACAGAACTGCACAGGAAACAGTGGTCCAGCCTGTACCCCTTGTCCTCAGGTGACCTGGAGGCCTTCAGTATGTCTGCCCTGACAGTATACAGCTGTGGCAGGTCACAATTCATACCTGTCATTCTAGCACTCTAGGAAGGGAGCTGAGGCAGAAGGGCAGGAGGTCAAGGCCAGTGTCTTATGGTTTTTGCCGCTGTGATGAAACACTATGACCAAATTGGGAGGAAAGGATTTATTCGGCTTACACTTCCACACTGCAGAAGGAAGTCAGGACAGGAACTCACACAGGGCAGGAACCTGGAGGCAGGAGCTGATGCAGAGGCCATGGAGGATGCTGATTCCTGGCTTGCTCAGCCTGCTTTCTTATAGAACCCAGGACCGCCAGCCCAGGGATGGCCCCACCCACAGTGGGCTGGGCTCTCCACTGCCCTGATCACTAATTAAGGACATGTCCCACAGGCATGCCTACAGCCCAGTCTTATGGAGGCATTTTTCTCAACCGAGGCTTCCTCCTCTCTAATGACTGCAGCTTTTGTTAAGCTGACATAAAACCAGTCAGGACAGCCAGTCTCCGCTACATGAGACTCTAACAGCTGTATGAAGCAGGAAAAGCTAAGGCAACTCAATAAAGGAGTGGAGAGTTTCTGTTAGTTTAACCTCCATGAGGAAACCTGGTAGTCTGAATGTGAACTGAACAGCAGGTCAAGGCCAAGCCCTCTCCGAAGTGATGGGGACACCATAGCTCCCCTGTAGAGCAACAGCAACGACACCCCAGGGAAAAACTCTCCAATCCAACCCCAATGTGCCAAGTCACCTAAGAGCCTCAAAGAACAAGCACAGATGGGCCAGCTATGAAACAAAAACTCAAAACCCAGGTGCATGAGAGATGGCAGACGGGGTGGCCCCACCCTATCAGGGTTTGACTTTCAAGAGCTGCTCCTCTAATTCTGTGAGCATCCAATATTTCTTATCAAGACTTGGTCTCTGCAAGAAAGATGAAAGGTAGGCTGTACAAGCTGGTACATCCCCAGCTGACCAAACAGGTTCTGAACTCCAGAATGCACAGCATGCTCACACAATGGATGGATGGATGGATGGGTGAATGGATGGATGGATAGACAGACAGACAAATGGTTTTTTTGAGGAGTGTCACTGTGTACCTCGGGCGTCAAGACAACCTGGCATCAGCCTGACCTCTGAGGAAGCTAGACACTGGACACTGAAGCCAACCATGACCGTGGCTACTGAATCCAAAAGACTGAGCCCCACAAGAACCCAGATGCCCTGGCAGTATGGCTGTGCTGGCTCATACTGGTGCCAGCAGGCTGACCAGGCTGATCTGATGCCATGGGGATGGGACAATTGAAAGGTGTGCTCCATGTCTCCCAGGCTACCCACCCCTCACCTGTCTGGTTAAGTCCTGTCCTTGCCCTGGAATAAGCTAACCGTGAGTCAAAACCTGCCAGAGTTCTGCATCTTCCCAGGACGCTGTCAGGGAATCCAGGGGCTGAGATCCCAGCCTGTACCCCGGAAGCCCCTCCTTGGCTGCTGCTGTAGCCCCTTCCTACTGCCAAACCACATGCCCTGTTCCCACAATGCTGTGCTCCCCAAGGACACAGAGAACTTATCTACAGAGGCATACTGACATGTCATTTGCTGATGAGCCACAGTCACAAGGGTGAGGGGGCATGTGAATGAGTTCATGAATGAATGAATGAGTGAATGAATGAGTTCATGAATGAATGAATGAGTTCATGAATGAATGAATGAATGAGTTCATGAATGAATGAATGAGTTCATGAATGAATGAATGAATGAATGAGTTCATGAATGAATGAATGGCCACGAGCGAGTGAGCGCATGGGTAAGTAAATGCAAGGGATGAGTGGGTGAGTCCTATGCTCACGTGGAGCTGCCCACCTAGGAGAGTCCATCGTCCTCCTGAAGTCACACTGCTTCTGAAGCACTGCTTCCTAACCTGTGGGTCGGGATCCCTTTGGGGAATTGAACAACCCTTTCACAGGGGTCACATATCAGATCTCCTGCATATCAGATACTTACATTATAATTCATCACAGCAGCAAGAACAGTTATAAAGTACTAACGAAATAATTTTATGGTTGGGGGTCACCACGACACGAGGAACTTGCTCTATTGAAGGGTTGCAGCATTAGGAAGAGTGAGGACTACTGCTCTAAGCGACACCACTTGTTCCTGGTCCTCAGGCTACGCTGGCCACCTTGACAAGATGGGCGCATGCGGGCGCAGCCCACATCTGTCACGCACCTCCTCTCCCCCTCACAGCCATTAACAGGAGGTCGCATCACAGCCTCCTGCCTCAGGTCCTGCGGGTCAAGCCCAGGGCCCAAGTCAGGACCCCTGGTTCTGCAGACAGCTTTCCCCAGGGTTCAGAGAGCCCACCTAAGTGACTGGTAGACAGGTACTCGCACATTCGCCTCAGCCTGCTCCCTTCTATTTCCCCACTGCTGGCAATCCCCCTGCCTCAGCTTGAGTGCTGTGATTACAGGTGGGTGCCACCAGAGAGAACAGATGTCATAGCTAGAGTGCCCTCCGACCTGCAGAAAGGACCTCATCGCCAGCTTGGTCATAGGCTCTGCTTCCCACCATGGCCCTTGGCAACCCTTAGTGCTACACTCTTGGATTGTGAGTCTGCAGCACGGAGTCCCTGAGACTGTACCCACCTGTATTCAGAACCAGGGAAGGTGAGCAGAACCCGCAAGTCTGGCCTCATTTCCTGCCTGCTGGTTGCAGCCTTGGATCCTTCCAGAAAGCCAGCCTCTGTCCCTGCGGACCTTCAAAGCAGTGCCTGACCACAGGAGTCAGGGTGGGGGGTGACCTGCCACACCTTACACTGCTGTCCTGTGCTAAGACAATAAGCTGGCCTCAGAAAGGTGATGGGTGGAGGAGCAGTGGCCTCACACTGTGGCCATGCTGGGTGTGTCTCCACAGACAAGGCATCTGGAAGGGTACAGCGGGATGGAGCACTTCTTTACCCAGAGCCCCTTCATCCTAAGGCAAACTGAAGTAGAAACTTAAGGGTTCTTTGGAAAGTCGGTCTGGTGGCGGACTCAGGCTGATTGGCAGAGTGATGTCAGCTGAGACAGACAGACAGACGTCTGTGCTGAGGCAAGGCCTTTGGAGCAGAGAGTATAAAAAGGACACATGTTTTCACTGATCTTTGCTTCCCTGAGAGAGGCACAGCTGAGAACTTCTGCTGACCCAGGCCAAGGCTGAGGCCTGGCTGTCTCTGTTAGGTTGTACCACCGCTGTGCTGACCTCTGAACTGAACTGCCAATTTCCAGACAACACTGACACTGCTTCAAAAAACCTTTCTAAGCAGGCC